CACACCATTCTCTGCCTTCCATTGTAGCAATTCCAGTGTGGTGCCCAGCTTTTTCTTGTCACCTACGCAATTCGGGTACAACAATTTTTTGTGATCCTCTAACATGTGCTGCAACTTCTTCTTCTCCAAATCACTTGCGCAGTTTCTCTTTGCATCGGCAATGGCCCGACCTAGATCATCAACGGGCTCATCCGATGCCTCTTCTTCAGCTTCTTCCCGCATTGCCGGCTCAGCTTCTTCCCGCATTACCAGCTCAGCTTCTTCCCGCATTGTTGTATCATCGTATTCAGGGAACCCATGGCCAGGATAGCTGTCGTCGTCCTCTTCTTCTTCATTGTCTTCCATCATAACCCCTTTTTCTCCATGCTTGGTCCAAACATTATAGTGGGGCATGAAACCGGACTCAAACAGGTGGACGTGAATGGTTCTTGATGTAGAGTAACTGTGACCATTCTTACAGCCAACACATGGACAAGGCATAAAACCATCCGCCCGCTTGTTTGCCTCAGCCGCAAGCAGAAAAATACGCACGCCATTAATGAACTCGGGAGAGCATCGGTCATCGTACATCCATTGCCGGCTCATCTTCAATACACAACACCGAAAACACCAAATTAATACAATACATAAAGTTCATACATAAAGATCATACAACACTTAAATGCAACAAACAAATAACTCTCTAGCTAAAGAATTTAAATGCAACAACAAATGCGATCAAGATCGCAACTACGGTAACAATTGATCCAACAGCATAATGATACCAAGCCTCACTATGAATGATATATTTTCTAATCTTTCTAATTTTCAAGCACATTTTCTCCATGTTAATCTTGTGATCATCGACGACATCGGCAACATGCAACTCCAATTCCATCTTCTCCCCCTCAATTCTTTTCATTTTTTCCTTCAAATCCCCGTTTTCTCTTTCAACTAAATTTAACCTCTCGACAATAGGGTCGGTTGGAATTTCCGGTTCAACTACCTCCTACATACAAATATCTATGTCAACTTGATGGGCATAATTTGTCATAAACAGGAAATGCAATGAATAGTTTTAAAAGAGAATATACCACATCTGAATCATAATCCGGACGAGGGCCGACGGGGACGGATATCAAAACCATGGCACTATGTATAACAAACAACGTATGGGTAAGATAATTATACGAGTAACTATATATCCAAATCACACAAACATCAATTTTTTATATAAAACTTCATGAACAAGAGGCTCACCACAAGGTGGTGCCGGCGATGGGACGTTGCGGGCGATCGACGGTGGTTACGACGGAGATTTAGAATGCACTAAGTAAACCACACCTACATATGCAAACTAAGTGTTATTTTTGACCTCAAATTGCATATAAATCAAATACTAGCACATATATATAATTCCTCCCAAATTACTAAACTCAAAAATCAATCACTATATAAAGCATTGCACGAGCTAATCTAGCAATGAGAGATGAAAGGACAAACTTGCTAACCTTTGGGTTCATTTGAATGGATGGGGGCCTTCAAATCTTGACAAATTTTGGGCAAAATATGTGATGAGCTTGAGAGGAAGAGGGAAAAGAATAAAGAGGAGAGGGGAAAGGGGAAGAACAGAGCGAGCTCGGGTGGACGAAGGGTCTATGTAGGACGACCTTTAGTGCCGGTTCATGATACGACCCGGTACTAAAGGTGCTGGAGGGGCCCCGGACTGACAACATCCTGCCACCACTCACTTTAGTACCAGTTCGTGGCACGAACCGGTGCTAATGGTTCACCACGAACCGATACTAATGATGTCCGCTCACCTAGCCGTTGGAACCGGCACTAATGGACACATTAGTGCCGGCTCAAATTCAAACCGGCACTAATGTGCTACACATTTGACCCTTTTTCTACTAGTGGTAGCATTTCTAACCCATGGGTGTTCAAAACACTATAGTGGTGTTTTTGGCCCTTCGATGATGGCTTGGTGTGCAGTTGTGAGATCATGGAATTCTTCCACTTTCTGGGGATGGGACGGGCACATCGAAACCACGATGCAGCATGTAGGAGCGTCTAATATCGTAGGATCACATAGAAAATCAAAGGTAACTGTTTAATCATATAGAAAACCAATGGTCTCTTTTCCGCTGAAGAAAATCAATTGTCAGTGACTATTTTATTTTTTCTCAAAAAAAAAAGAAAATGTTCAGTGAATTGTACTACTCCAACTATTTTACTCTTCCTGAGCGTTTTTAGTTTTTTTTTCCTGCGTTTTGTTTTCTTGAGCTACTCCTTTAGGCCTTGTTCGGTTGAGGTGGATTTTGATTGGGATTGGCAGGGATTGAGGGGGATTAAACCCTCTACAAGCCAAAATCCCCTCCAATCTTCTTCAATCTCCTTGGGAGGAGGATTAACCGAAGAAGGCCTTATGCCGTGCCCGAATTTCTCTATACTCTTTTTTCTATATCTATACTACTTATAAAAGAGCAAACATTATCTTCTCTAAGTGCACCCCACAAAACGTACACGAATACATTACCACCGCATGATTAGTCCCACTAAACTCAATCTAACGGCTAGCCTTAACCTAATTTATTCTCTGTGTGCACTTAGCAATTTAAATTGACTGACCGTACTTCACCTTGGAGGAAAATATGAAAGTCCACGTCTGGTCAATTAGGAAACTATAATCACGAACACTCCTATTAAGAAACTAATCATGGGCGCATCTAATTATTGGGAAACTAATCATAAACGCATCTTATTATTAGAAAACTAATCACGGGCGCATCCATTATTAGGAAAATAATCACGCGCGCATCCTATTAGGAAATTAATCATGGACGTAACTAATTATTAGGAAACTAATCACAAAAAATTCCTATTAGATAACTAATCACGAAGGCATCTAATTATTAGGAAACTAATCGCGAGCGCATCCTATCGTCTCGGGAATCGCGATCGCAAGTCGCCTGCCGTCACCAGTCCACCACCCACGCGAGCCACAGTGGGAGACACGCGAGGAGGAGTTGCGGCTTCCTCCGAACACACACACGTGCCGTCGCCGCTTTGTCTTCTGCCTGGAGGCCAGTTCACTTTTCTACTGACTGCAACGACTTCGTTCACGTCCTGACATGTCGGCATCCGTGTCGACTTCAGCTCCGTCCATAATACCCACGCTGACAACCACCCACCGCAGACGCCCTTCAAGTGGGGGCAACGCTGAGTATTCTGGACCAGTATAAGCGGGCAAAAAAAATCGAGTGGGGGCGCCCCGGTGCATGGAGGGCGTCGCCTCAAAGCTGGACGACTGATTCACCTGCGTCGACAACGCCGCCCAGCTGGTGAGACGACACGGTCGCCGCGGCGGCTCGCAGGCCGGAACGACGGAGATGCTCGCCTTCACGCGAACGCGCCACACGCACACACTAATCAGATAAGCACTGAGTGTTGTTTTTTTTACTGTCATCGCTACCTCGCCGGTGGTGACACATCTAGAAGTACACGAACCAGAGATGAGGCAATGAGAAACAGAGGCGCACTGGAGCACACACAGTTGGGTTTCAGGCAACCAATGCCTTCTTTCTTTCTTTATTTTTTCACTGATTTTTGCGTACTTGCAACAGACATCCCTGTTTTTTTAAGTACTGACTATCGGTTATTACATGGCCAAGTCACGACTACATAGTGAACTCACAGACAAATTCGCTGAACCAAGACCTTACTTGCAGTCATGAACTTACATGAAAAAAACCCAGAAATTTGCATAAGTTTTAGTGAAAAAAAATAAAGTTCGCATAAGTTTTACTAAAAAACCCTAAAGTTTGCATAAGTGTATTTGTTTGTCCAGCAGATACATGGCAACTGTAATTTTACATGAGCATTTTCATACCGTCCCTATCTACAGTTGAGTTAACATGTTTTCCTGATAGAAAACTTGGACCACATACAAGAGAAACAAAAAATGCATATTGATTATGACCATGACGAATGTAGGATATTTTGTGGTCATGGTAAATTCTCATATCATTTATTTTATTTCATTATTGCACTCTACATTACATATTACGCACGACCACTTTGGTAGAGGTGACAAGTTCACATCATATAGAGAGACCAACCATGTTTCTCCGAATATCTTGAATCATGATCCTTATGACTTCATCTCTACTACTTATAAGAAATACATTTTTTCATTTGACTATTTCCTAACTTGAGAGGTAAGGTATGTTTTATCCACTAGAGTTGCTAAAATTGGAAGTATGTCTGCAGTTTTTTTCTTTCTAAACCGGCATTTGTTGGCTTTTTTTGCCACTGTTATTCTTACAAGTGGTAGCCTACGCATGTTGAAGACCATTTTCAAATTATTTATCTTCGTATCATTATTACTACAAACTGAGAGGATATTTGTTATATTGTCAAAATTTTAGAATGTTGAGCCCTTAAAGAAATGTGTAGTACTCAAGTAACTGTTCCAAGTTGTCGTATTAATGCTTTTGTCTTGTAATAATAATTCTTGACTGGAGTTTGTTGGCACTGAAACGGCTCCTTAGCTTGTCCTAAGTGACATTTTTATGTGTGATTATACTTGCATAAATGTGTGCATATGAAGAATCATGATGAATCTTCTAAATAATTTTGAGTTTTATACATTGGGAACACTGGGTGGTCTTTTAATACAGGAGATATGTTGTTTAAGGAGAAACGATATTTCAAATTGTTTGTACGAGTAGGGAGTACAAGATTCTGTATTTTATAGGGAAATTTAAATTTATAAATAAATTGTCTTGTATTAAGTTTAGTATAATGTGTTAATCCAAATAGACGCGTGTTACACGTAAACACTTATTAGTTTCACATCAGGATCGATCGATCAGTTATCTCTAACAACTAGGATTCATTATCTATCTTCTAAACCCGCAACTATAAATATGGACCATTCCGCATCCACTTCCTCCATCCCATTCAAATCGATCTTCCTCCTCCTCTCCCACGTACAATCTCATCTTGACAACGAAACGATGGTGCAGCGCACTTCCAACGCCGAGGTCATGTCCATGGACCTGTCGCACAAGAAGCCCGCCAAGGCCTACGGCAGCGACGGCGGCGCCTACTACGACTGGTCGCCGGCCGACCTGCCCATGCTCGGCACGGCCTCCATCGGCGCCGCCAAGCTGCACCTCTCCGCCGGCGGCCTCGCGCTCCCCAGCTACTCCGACTCGGCCAAGATCGCCTACGTGCTCCAGGGCGCCGGCGCCTGCGGCCTCGTCCTCCCCGAGGCGGCCAGCGAGAAGGTGATCCCCGTCAAGGAGGGCGACACCCTGGCGCTCCCCTTCGGCGCCGTCACCTGGTGGCACAACGCCGAGGGCGCCTCCGCGGAGCTGGTGGTGCTCTTCCTCGGCGACACCTCCAAGGGCCACACTCCCGGCCGCTTCACCAACTTCCAGCTCACCGGCGCCACCGGCATCTTCACGGGCTTCTCCACCGAGTTCGTCGCGCGCGCCTGGGACCTCGACCAGGACGCCGCCGCCAAGATCGTCTCCACCCAGCCTGGCTCCAGCATCGTCAAGATCGCCGCGGGGCACCGGATGCCGGAGCCTCGCGCCGAGGACCGCCAGGGCGTGGTGCTCAACTGCCTCGAGGCGCCGCTCGACGTGGACATCCCGGGCGGCGGCCGCGTGGTGGTGCTCAACACGGCCAACCTGCCACCGGTGAAGGACGTTGGGCTGGGCTCTGACCTCGTGAGGATCGACGGTCGCTCCATGTGCTCGCCGGGATTCTCTTGCGACTCGGCCTACCAGGTCACCTACATAGTGCGAGGCGGCGGCCGCGTCCAGGTCGTCGGCATCGACGGCACCCGTGTGCTGGAGACCCGCGCCGAGGCGGGCTGCCTCTTCATCGTCCCCAGGTTCTTCGTCGTCTCCAAGATCGCCGACGACACCGGCATGGAGTGCTTCTCCATCATCACCACGCCAAAGTACGTACCACTAGTTTTACTCTAGTAGTTGACCAACTAGAACTTTTGATGTGCATGTGTACATCACATTTTCTAGCATTATTTTTGTTCGGTATATTATGTTTCAATTTTGCGAAATTCAAGTATATATGGCCCTAATTAGTTGCCCTGTCTGACATTAAAGTTTCCTGCTACATATTCAATTTCATTCAGTAGTCGTGGATTAAAAAATGCCACTGTATCTTTTTCTGACTGTATTTTGATAGTAAAATTGTAGGGAAACATGCATGCGTATAGCAGATCTGATGCATTATTTTTGTTCCATATATTCTGTTTCAGTTTTGCAACAATCAAGTATGAACTTATTTCTAGTTGCAACTAGGAAAGTTTCTTACAGAATGGATTCCTCCCGTTTGTTTAGCATTTTTGTATATACCCTTAGTTGCACAATATTGTGGCATGTTTTGCATTTTCTCAAAATGTAATTTTCCTACATATTCAAGTTTAATCAATAGTTTTGCATTTATCTAGTTATATCGATCATTTGACCAACTAATGTTTGTGTTGTGCAAAACAAATGCAGCCCGATCTTTAGCCACTTGGCTGGTAGGACGTCGGTGTGGAAGGCGATATCGCCCGAGGTGCTAGAGACGGCCTTCAACACCACGCCAGAGATGGAAAAGATGTTCCGCTCCAAGAGGCTCGACTCTGAGATCTTCTTCGCTCCCAACTAGATCATCCGCACATCTGTCCATCTCTGGCTTGGCAATACCTTGGATTATGTTTTGATTAGGGTCGCCAAGGGTTAGTTAAATTCAAGTTTGTCGCGTTTGATGGATTATGTAATAATAAGCCTGAGATGGATTTGTCACGCTGGTTAGTTCTTATTGAATTCTGTGAGATCAGTTAAAGTTTGATCAATGCAAGATGTGTATCGATATATTCCTGTAGTGGGTAATTTGTTACTGTTGTGTGTGTGTGCGGATAATCAGTCAGTGACGGGTGATAGAGAAATCAAATTCATGCAAACAAAATTAAGCTTTTCTATGTTTGGGTGATAGTGATAATAATAACACAAGAAGAAAGCCTATCTTCCGTACGAATATATTTTAGTATGGATCAAGGTTCAAAAGAGCTCGTCACAAGAATCTGCCTCCATTGAACAAGAAACTGTCATGAATTTTCAGAATACAGTCCTTTCTTCCACATATGAAGCTTGCCCATTTCCTTGTTTTTTGTTCTCAAAATTCCTTCCATTTTGAACAAGCCCAAATATATCAAACAATGCTTCTTGGTTCTCAATATATCTGATATTTCATTAGAATTAGTTGAGCCTCCTTATGAGGCACACAACAGGCGGCGATTTTTATAGTAGGCAGGGCCGGCCCTGGGGAGGGGCAGCGGGGGCGGCCGCCCCGGGCCCCCAAAGTTCAGGGGCCCCTTCCTATGTACATACATAGGCTATATGTCCAGCGAGGCAGAAAAAAATGCCCTATTGGGCTGGCCGGCTGGGCCTCACGCAGCATGCAGCACGCACGCAGCAGGCCAGTGAGGCACAGCGGCAGCAATCGTTTCTTTCCTTTTTTCACATAAAAATAGGAGTGATTGATCCCTTCCTATTTCATCTCGCATTGACACAGCGATTTCTAGCGGCCGCCGAAGCTTCGATTGTTCGCTAGTGCGTGCTCGACGTTTCTTTCTCCTTTTCTCCTAATTCTAATTTAGATCATCAGTTCCTCGCCGCCGATTTCAATTCGCCGGGGCCTGTAGTAATCCGGCTCTGGTTTCCGTCCATCGCTGATTCGGCCATCGGAGGTATAACATGTATTCTGATTGTGGTTCTATAGATGCATAGCCGGCCCAGTGGCACTGTTCAACAATTAATGAATTTTTTTCAGCATTGTGTCATCATATCATCTGGAAGAAAATATGCATCTGCTAGCGATAAAAGGAAAAGAAAGAAAATACAAGGTATAACACAATATTTTAAGATGTATATATAGAGATGAGGAGTTTTCTGCTAGTTTGATAATTGCCAAAGTTACTACAAATGAAATGAGTGTAGGTCCATTGTTTCCGGTAAGACATCATGTTACAAGAAGTAACATTTGACGAAAGTGATTGTCGAGGAGAAATTCTAGAATTTGATAAGGCTGTCCAAGTTATTTTTTTGTTTTGGTTGATAGCGACCACTTCTTTGTAGGGTAGATTTAAAGAACCTATGGTGTTTAAAGATATATTTGGAAATTTTTTAGCTCGGAAACTATGAAGTCATTGATGATAATGAACTTGAAGAGTGGCGCACAAAATTTGCAGAAACTTTCTCTCTTCATAGATCATGTGATGTTGAGGTATTTGATCTTATTTCTGAATTGAAAATTGCGGATTCACTTTGCCAGATGACTGTAATATATGCCATGGAGATTTCGAGCATGTCAAGAGAAGTTGGTTGTTATCCTGATATCTCCATTGCTTATCGCATCTTTATTTACTATACATGTGACTATTGTATAGGCCGAAAGAAGCCTTTTGAAGTTGAAATTAGTGAGGAACTATCTAAGGTCACCAATGACCTAGGTTATATGGTTTGGCAACATTATGGAATCGATAAGAAATTATTGGATGATATTGACAACGACCCCATCATAAGTGATTTTGCATCAAGGAATGTTAGAATTATTATTAAAGGTAATACTTATAAAGTATTTGATATGCATACTATTATTGGATGCATTTAAGTGCTTGATAATACATGTACCTATATTCAATGTTATTGTTAAGATGTCTATATTAAGGGCCCCGACTTTTACTCTCGCCCGGGGCGCCCAAAATCTCAGGACCGGCCCTGATAGTAGGTAAGTATGGTACTCGAGAAATGAATCAAATGCTAATTACAATAGTTCGGGACGGCAAATAAATACCGACGTTTGAACGATGCTGACCAGAAGGACGTCATCAATGTACATACATACGGCTAAGACGGGATGTATTATTTTCAAGGACATCTATCAAGATTATTATTCATCTGTTAGTTGGCACAAAGTTTAAGCAGAAAATTTGACGCCTTTGTCGTTCACTGAAGTGCCCTTAAAGAAATTGTCTTTCCCTTCTGTACCAACAGCCTCAAAGCACGCATCAGGACACCACGATCAATTCCCGCGACTTCTGCAACAAAAGCCATAACATAAAATGAGGATTCAAACTAGCCACAATTAATATCATAAGACCACCCGCAAAAAATGATATATCATAAGACAACTTTTATTTATTATGAGCAAGGGGCATACATGGTCTTTGCTATGTGTTACTTTGTTTTCTTTTGCCAATTATGTATGGCCTGTGTATGTATTACTGATGAGGTACCGCCACGAACTTATGTCACGACATAAGCTTTGGTTGCATCGGTGTGTTGATACATGCAGGAGTGGGGTTTTCCGAGGATTACCTCTGGTTTATCCATTCTTCGCACAACATAGCTTATCCTTAGCTTTATATAATATCCATCCCCAAATGGAAAACTCTAACAGGAAAATTCCAATAGATTCTTATCCAAGCTAACCATCACTAAGCCTAGGTTTAGCTAGATGGTTCGTCCTGAGGCTTGTGGTGGCTACAATAATTCCAACCCAAATTGCAAGTTGGGTAAACATGAAAATATTTATCCAATGGTTGAGTCTAAATCCTACATATATATTACTGTTTCTACCTCAAATTGCTTTAAAGCAAGAAAATAAGATTTGCATTACAAAAAATTGAAAATGATAAATCTAATATCATCTCCATCAAGTTTGTACTTACCCATCCCATGCTTCAGTTCCAGAGCGTATATCTTCAATTGTTGTTACTTCTTGCTTTACCTATAAGCATTACACAGAGAAAAATATTTTTCATTGATGAATTGATAGCTTCGACAGAAACATGTTCAACATCATACAAATTCTTTCACAGTTTAATATGTAGTTAGCCCAATCGTTGAACTTTCTGCCAAAGAATGAGACACTTATCGTGACTTTTGTCAATCCACTCTACACAACCTGCTTTGAACTTGGCTTTAAGTAGTTTCACGACACAAAGCCGAACACAGACCAGGGGTAATAAAAACATCCACTATCAGAGTCGTCATCCACCCCCAATCGCCATATTTTTCGAGCTCCCTCCATATGTGGTCTCCTCCATATCTGGAGGTGTCATTTGGAGCTTGCCCCAAAGTCAACTGCTAGCGGGGGATGGATATTTCA